TGTTGGACTTCTGACATTGGGATCTAACAAAACCCTTCATATTTTTCTCGAAATAACAAATTAATATCATATACTTCCGTTATTCCAGATTTTCTTGGGGTTTTCTCTCCAAGTTTCTATAAAATGAAAATATGAATATTATTTCAATATTACTACACCTATATTGAAATAATATTCATATTTTCATTCCATAGAAACGAGTAGAGAAAATCTGAAAAAAATCTGGAATAATGAATAAATCTTCCCCATTATTTTGATGGAGAGATTACCCAAAATTTTCTGGTTCGACTTCAACTAATATTAGGTAGAATCATTATTATCAACATCAATATCATTATCCTCTTCAAATTGTTGATTCTGATAGTTCTGAAATTTATAATCGCAATTTCGTTTGAAGATATTAGGAATGTCGTGAATGAATTGTGATAATCTATTTTGTTCTTGGCACAGTTAATAGTCGCTTGTCACTTGTTCGGACAAGGCAAAAAACATCGGTATAATAAAGTAATTATAAGACACATGTGCCACACATAATTCTCAAATAACTCTTCATTCGTAGACGACTAACTTCAGATTAGTTGGTTGCGCTCGTGAAATTCGTAGTGTATTTATATTGCTATTCTCAATGTTGATCTTGTGAACGTTCTTGCATTTTGCATCAAATTTATCCATTATGAATCATTTGGATTGAACTAGAAAACACAATATTCAGGGTGGTTCAGATTTTGATAGGTTAAATTCGAAAGGTGAAAGTAGGTATACTCGCAAAAATAAAAAAAATCATATGTTTTCGAGCTTAGTTTTCGAGATACTGGTTGTTGACGTTAGAAATATCATTGGTCTTTTTCCATCATAAACCTGTAAAAGCTTTCATGATGCCAACATTTAATGTAGTCGTTTTCATAGGGAGAAAAATTCTCAGAGTCTCTACATTGAACAATAACATTTTGATTCATTTTCAGGTCTTTATTGTTTCATTATCCCATTGTATATTGTGTGTCTTGTCAAATCGTTAAAAATATGAAACTTTGTTCACAAAAATTTCTCAAATTCCGAATCATTCGAAAGTTCAAGTTTGGTCACATACTCAAATAACATCCTGAATATTATATTGATGATTTCATGCCAATAAGTAGTTATTAGTTATCATTTCTCATTTTCTACCAACTGAGAAGAATTTAAAAGTCTTTAGCTTAATGGAAAAGGTGGTACATTCATGTTGCTAGATTATTTGGGAATTTCTCTCCTCGTTTCTATATAGAATAAAAAAATTAGTTTTATATCAATAAACGTGTATATAGTAAGGACTAATCAGATGATTTGAACCCAAAATGTCACTTCGTCTGAAAATTTTCCTGACAGAGCCGAAAAAAATACTTTGTTTTGAAAAATGTATGGAGAAGAGAAATATAAATATATATAAATACTGTTTGTAGGTTAATCGAGGAGGTGGTACATTCATTATTCCAAATTTTTTGGGATTTTCTCTCCTCGTTCCTATAAAATAATAATATGAATATTATTTCAATATACGTGTAGTAAGGACAAATCAGATGATTTGCCCCAAAATATCACTGCGTTTAGAGAATTTTCCTATCAGAGAGCCTAAAAGAAAAATTCACTAGGAAAATTATTAAACGCAGTGACATTTTGGGGCAAATCATCTGATTTGTCCTTACTACACGTATATTGGAATAATATTCATATTTTTATTTTATAGAAACGAGGAGAGAAAATCCCAATAATTTGGAATAATGAAAAATATATATATATGAAAAAATCATTTTTTCTCAATATATCTATGCATGGTGAATCTGGAAATGGTTTTTTTTTTAAACTAGATATATATCTCACCAAAATAAGTTGTTTGGTAAGAAATCACTCCTATTAAATATTTTAGATAACGGAGGTTTGTACAGGTATTCAATGGTTTGAAGGAGACCCCCATCAATTATGAAACATTTTTTTAAAATAAAAAACGCAAAAAAGCTGTAATTAGTTCAGCGTTAAATACCCTACAGTTTCATTATTTCATCAGAAACACTAACCAAGAACCTCTTTTAGGATTAGGCCAAACAACTTATTTTGTTAATATAAAACCACATTTTTCGAAACAAATTGTTACTGACAAACCATTTTTTTATGCTCTCTGATAGAAACATTTTCGAATGCAGTGACATTTTGGGAAAAATCATCTGATGATGGTCCTTACTATACGTTTATTGAAATAATACTCATATTTTCATTTTAAAGAAACAATAATGAGGAAGTCCCAAGTGATCTAGCAAAATTATTGAAAAATAAACTGATGAAGTCCACTATTCAGGAGTATTGAAATCTAAAAGACTAGAAACCAACTAAGATGACCCCTTAACAAATAGATATTATTTTCTTTCCTTATTTATTGCTCTTCTAGAAAATTGGAATAACTATTATTCTGACTATTACACTGATATTATAATGACCTCTGAGTTACTGATAATTGTTTATGTGTGGTTTAGCACTATGTCATGAATTGTATCAATATTGACTGTTTATTAATTCTGAACGATATGATTATGCTCACCGAATGGCATGGAAATTAAAAATTCCAACTAGGAAGCCATAATAATAATTGAACTCACTACGCCAAGTAACACATTCGAATACTCTCGAGATCAATATGTAGGTATGTACAGGGTCTTCCAACGGAAACTTGACAACCCCAAAAGCAAACACCACAGAAGACAATCTTTGGCCTCTCCTCCTTTAATCACGATGACACTAAGTCAATTCATCACCCTGTACATTCAGGGCACATGCAGACTTGGCGACTCCAAGTCTCAAATTATTTAGGTGATGAAATGGAAATAATGAACTCCAAACCTAACATCAGCTGAGCACTTCGAGGGCGTTAATTCATTACTGCATGTGAAATATCCTTCAGATTTTAACTGTGGTACAGGTGACACACCATAGCAAAACAGCAGACAATCTTTGGCCATTCTCTATTCAATGACGATTAAACTGAGCACTTCATCATCCTGTACATTCAGGACACATGTGGACTTGGCGACTTTGAGTCTCGTATTATTCAGGTGATGAATTAAAACTAACGAACATCAAACCTAACATCAGCTGAGCACCTCGAGGGCGTTAATTCATTACTGCATGTGAAATATCCTCAAGATTTCAATTCATTACTGCATGTGCAGCTCTCCAATGATATTGACTGGCATCACGTTTTAGTCTTCTGGCGCAACCAGACTTTAGATGACCGCTTGTGCCAGATTCACTATGGGTATAAAATCTCACTAGAAAAACATATCCGGATCTTCGAAAGGATTGAATCTCAGATGAACAAATAGAATAATTAAATGAGTAATGTCGCCAGTGAAATGGAGTCAACATTAAACAGTATGATATTTTTATCGGGAACCATATGAGTCATATTCGGCAGTTTCGTTAGAATTTCAAGGTGTTGTGATAAAATCTTTCAAAATTTGGTGTATTTTGGAATATGCGCCTCTGACTGAGCTTCCAATAATCAGTTCTCCTTTGAGTACGACTATGTCTACTATTCGTTCATCAGAGAATCAAACTATTGTACAGGTAACACCATAGCAAACAGCACAGCATACAATCTTTGGCCACTATTCCTCCAATCACGATAATCATAAATCACTTCATCACCCTGTACATTCATGATACATGCGTACTTGGGGACTCCAAGTCTCGAATCACTTAGTTGATGAGATGAAAATAATGAAGTCCAAACCTAACATCACCTGAGCACTTCGAGGGCGTTAATTCATTACTGTATGTGGAATATCCTTCAGATTTTCAGCTTTTCACTGATATTTACTGACATTTACGTTTTAGTCTTCTGTGCAACCACAACCTCAGATGAACGAATAGATCAGGTGACTAATGTCGTCATCAGTGAGATGGGGTCAATATTGAACAGTATGATTTCTTTGCCAGGTATCTTCGAAACCATTCGGCTCATTCGGCTGTTTGGTTAGGATTTTGAAGTGTTGTGTGATAAAATATTCAGAATTTTGGTGTATTTTGGAATATGCGCATTTCATCTGTGCTTCCAATAATCATCATCCATGTATTTGTACAGGGTGTCAATTTGAAAACTTCCCACCCTTTATATCTCCCTCCAAGTCGATAATATGGAAAAACGAAAAGACAGGTCGATTATATTTTCGAGGGGGACATGGTTCTAAAATATTTTCAGCCCCGCGGCGTTGCCGCTTCTAACGAAAAGAAGCAACAACTTTGTTATTTCAAATGGAACAACCTGTATTTTATTGCATTTTTAGATTCTCCCTGGAAAACTGATTTCATCAATGTATCTCACTTGGGGTCTAGCAGGAATGATTACAGAGATATAGGGTGTTCAAAATCGAGATTTTACAACTTTAGGATTTTTTTGAGTCGAAACTATTCATTATTGGTCAAAACGGCTTGCATGTCCCTATCTTAACTTTTGATTTACTATCTACTGACATTTATTTGAAACAAATACAGGGTGATCAAAAGTCTGAATCTTGAACCACCCTGTATTTGTTTCAAATAAATGTCAGTAGATAGTAAATCAAAAGTTGAGATAGGGACATGAGAGCCGTTTTGACCAATAATGAATAGTTTCGACTCAAAAAAATCCTAAAGTTGTAAAATCTCGATTTTGAACACCCTATATCTCTGTAATCATTCCTGCTAGACCCCAAGTGTGATACATTGATGAAATCAGCTTTTCAGTGAGAATCTAAAAATGCAATGAAATACAGGGTGTTCCATTTGAAATAACAAAGTTGTTGCTTCTTTTCGTTAGAAGCGGCAACGCCGCGGGGCTGAAAATATTTTAGAACCATGTCCCCCTCGAAAATAAAATCGACCTGTCTTTTCGTTTTTCCATATTATCGACTTGGAGGGAGATATTGAGGGTGGGAAGTTTTCAAATTGACACCCTGTATATGCACATACCATGGACGTATAAACTTGGTGACTCTCTCGGATTATTCAGATGATGAAATGAAAATAACGAACACCAAACCTAACATCAGCTAAGCACTTCGAAGGCGTTAGTTCATTACTTCATATTTTCAGCTTTTTCATGATATTTACTGACATTCATATTTTAGTCTTCTGCGGAACCAACATTTAGATTTCGCTTTTGCAGGTTCGCTATGGATACAAAATCTTACTGGAAAAACATAACTGGATCTTTGAAACGATTGAACCTCAGATGAACAAATAGATTAATTAGATGAGTAATGTCGTCAGTGGAATAGATGCAACATTGAACAGTATGATTTTCTGAATCGGATATCTTGCAAAACATTGGGCTCATTCGGCTGTTTAGTAGATTGGTGTATTTTGAAATATGCGCCTTTGACTGTGCTTTCAATAATCAGTTCTCCTTTGAGTACAACTATGTCTACTATTCGTTCATTAGAGAATCAGACTGTGGTACAAGTAACACACCATAGCAAACACCACAGCAGACAATCTTTGGCCACTATTCCTCCAATCACGATAAACACAAATCACTTGATCACCCTGTACATTCATGACACATGTGGACTCGGCGACCGGCGTTCATTTTGAGGTGCAACCCCAGCCAGGTGATGCGGGGGCGGCGGCTGCGGCATCAGCCCCAGATGCCCCATGGGGCGCGCCCCAAGTAGCGAGGCCAGCGGGTGAGCACCCTGCGAGAAGTAGCCCTGCAGGGCGGGGTGGTGGGGGTAGAGAGAGTGGGGATGGCGGGACAGCGACGCCATCTTGAGTTTTTCTATCTCGGCTTCTTGCAGGCGTTTGGCTTTGGCTCGGCGGTTTTGGAACCAAATTTTCACCTGGAAACAAGAAGATTCGATTGTATTTTTTATATCGAAATGGATACATTGAATTTGATCCCTATACAGGGTGTGGCAAAAATTGGGGCGATGAATGAATTGGGGTATTCCATGAGGCATAGTGACACGATTTATAAAAAATAAACATGTGCGCTCCTATATAAAGTGCTCAAAGAAATAAGTATGCCACTGAAATATTTGACAATTCTCAAACTGCCATATCTTTTTAGAAAATGAATGGATTTTCAATCGGAATTCAGTGCTTGGAAGATGCGATTTTTCTCTTCAAGATTCCTCGTTCAAAACTCATCGGGAGATTTTCTGCCATTATACACCAGGTGTTCGAAAAAAGTATTACAAAATTGAAAAAATTCAAACGCTTCCGTATTCCAGGGAATTTTTTTCATTTTTCTATTAAGCGTTTTTTTCGAACGTTCAAGCCAATATCTCGAAACAGTTTTGTAAGTTTCCATATTCCTCATACAGGATGTTGAAAATCGATGATTTCTCATTTTCAGATTTTTATCACATCATTTCCGATTTTAAAATTATGCAAGCCACCTTCGACGTATTTTGCCACTCTATACGATGGTACACATCCTGGAAAATGGATTCATATTGACAACTTTAACAGAAGAAAAATTAATAATTCTTTTTTAGAAATGTTCGGAATTTAGAGAAATCGTCTGTTCAGTTTGATGCTGCCATAACCATATGCTATGCTAAACACAAATCCTTCATTTGGATTGATTGCTTTGTTAAGTATTTCGAATTGATTTCGTGATTTGTCAGATAAGGCAATCCAAGGGGGCGCAAGGAGGCCCTTCTGGATTTTTCCGACCAATTCATACAATAAATATGCTATAATGGTTTAAAGATATTCCTGAGCTGACATGAAGTCAAGAAACCTATTTATCACAAGGTTTTTCATTGCGTGATCGAAAATCAATCGAAAAAGTCATTTTTATTGTAATCAACACTTATTCACGAGATTATCACCACTGCAACACCCAATACATATTTCAACTATTATTGAACGTCCGGTAACATTGCAAAAGTCATTGATGTTTCCGGTGCTTGTGATATGTCGAAAAACAAACGCTTGGGTTGGGCTATTAACGTCTGAAGAATGATTCACAAAAGTTCGAGGCAAACTTTGAAGCTGAATATCTTCAAAAATATCTGTTTTTCGACAAGAATATATTCGAATAAATGCATGAATGCTTAAAAGCTCAAAGAATTTGAGTAGTAGATGAGAGTAGATGAACATGTTCCTTGAGTCTTTTGTGAGATAAGAGCGGAAAACTGGAAAGACTCGAACGAGTTTTTTGCATTTTTTCAACCTGAGCCGGTACTGCTACGAGGCAGCATACCTCAGATTCGCGTTCAGCATCCCAAAATACAAAATTCCGTTGAGATCCCTTTCCCTTATTTAGAGAGAACTGTGGAGAACGAAGAGCGATTGGCATAGTTCGTGAAAATGGTAACATAGCTAGTTGATGCATTATTTCATTCCAGGTCATATCTCCTCCATGTTCCATTCAAGAGATCACGATTTCACGTTAAAGGTATACCTACTGAACTGAAGAAAGTGTTCAGGGCTTTTTTCTTCTTGAAACCCTCATTTTATACAACATAATGTGGCAGCAGCCCACGATACAGGGTGTATCTAAAAATTGTTCTAAAATTGTTCTATCCGTCATTCGGTTGCCCCCTTACGAGCAACCCTCAGAAGTCTTCGAAAGACTTGTGCGAGCAAGGAATGACGGGGGCCTTACCTTTTAACGTGTGATCCCAAACACTTTCTTAGGACATCAGAAAAAGTCTGCGTTCGTGGGTCTCGAACCCACGATCGATACCTCGACGTGAATCGATATTGAAGCATCGAAGCACTGAGGTACGCCGGCCTAAATAACACCAAAAAAATCAAGGGGTGGTTCCTTGTAATGTTTTTGGAAATGAGGTTTATATTAACATGTGTCCTAACTTCGTTTTCGAGATTCAGGGTATTAATATTTCCATGAAAAATCTTTTTCCTATTCATTTCCCAATTGTTTTTTCATCAATTCGAATAAAACGTTGTGGTATTGTTGATAGTAATTTGGAGCTTCTGCTAGTGCAATTAGATTTGGAATGATATTTCCAGTGGCGTTACAATGGATGAATTTATCGATATTCATGGTGACTGTAATTTTACACCACCGGTTTTTCTGAGTTTCATGTATAGAATTTATAAAAATAATAACTTTTCTATCATCTGTGTGATTTTTGTATCCATTCTAGTTTCTGATGAAACAATAAAAATTCGATTTGACCCCAAATTTAAATGTAGGTGTTTTCAAGATTTTCATTAAGATCACTCAATAACCCCAATTTGAATCATTCTAGAATTTTGGGACTTCCTCAGTCTCCATCCATACTGAATTTCGGCACCATGGAAGCTTTTAGATTAGATTTAGAATGGGGCTTTCGGGCTATCTGCCTCCACACCGCGACCTTTTCAGATCTATTGTGTCTGCCCTCAAAATCGATTAGAGTTCTTCGGCTAGCCCCGTCTTCTCTATGAGACTCCATAGGCTAGCTTTCAGATTCCCTGTGTATCTCTGGGCTTCTGGTTTTTCCTCACCCAGCGTAAGGAACCTTAGTCTTGACAAGCCCTCACAGTGGCAAAGTATGTGTACTGCTGTTTCCTCCTCCTCCTGACAGAACCTGCACAGCAGTTCTTCAGTCAGACCTATCGTACTCATGTGTTTGTTGAGCCTACAATGCCCTGTGAGAAGTCCCACTAGTATTCTAGTTGAACTTCGTTTCTGGCTTAGTAGATATTCTGTGAATGTTGGCGATGGTTTTTTAATAAACTCTTTTGCCTGTCTCATTCCTGGCGATTTGTTCCACCATTCTTGAGATTTGGTTTGCATCAATGATTTGATACTAGTCTTTTGTATAGCTTTCGCAATACCACAGAAGGGTTCTGGGGCATTCAGAGCTCTGTTTGCTCCTGCTCGGGCAAGTGAGTCTGCCTCTTCATTGCCCTCGTACCCTGTATGTGCTGGTACCCATGCTAGAGTCAGTCTTTTCTGACTGCCCAGTGCATTTAGGGTTTCTAAGCAGTCCCATACTAGTTTTGAGTTAACTTGCATAGAGTTGACTGCTTTGATTGCCGCCTGGCTATCTGAATAGATTGCAATGGTTTTGCCTTTAAACTCTTGCCTTATCAATTCTTTCACGCAATGATGTATTGCAATAATTTCTGCCTGAAACACCGTCGCGTATTTACCTAAGCTCAGTGAGATTCTTGTCTTTGGCTTGGCCCCATAAATACCAGCTCCTGATCCAAACTCAGTTTTGGAGCCGTCCGTATAGACAGCAATGTCTGCATTGATAGGAGGTCCTTCCTTCCATGCCTCTCTGTCCGTTATACTTATTTTAAAAGTTTTTTCAAAGCTATATTTTGGAATTATGCCATCCGTTGGCATTCCCATGATGGGGTCGCTTTCCAACTCTTCATATAGCTTTCTATAGTCTTTACCGTGCGCGTTGCTTATGGGTGCTTGACCCCTTGACAATCTACTCACGACTGCTCTGGCTTCGCCTTGAATATATATTTGTAGTGGTGGTAGGTTCAAGAGGACCTCTAAAGCGGCTGTTGGAGTGGTTTTCATTGCACCAGTGGCACTCAGGCAAGCTTGCCTTTGAATAGTACTGAGCCTTCGAATCACTCCAGCCTGTTGTGTCTTTGGCCACCAAACTACTGACCCATATGCTATCATAGGCCTGATGACGCTGGCATAGAGCCATGTGGTCATTTTTGGTTGCAGTCCCCAAGTTTTCCCGCACATTCGTCTGCACAGATTGAAGGCTACTGTACTTTTTTGAACAATTTTTTGTAGGTGTTGATTCCATGTTAACTTATGGTCAAAGATGACTCCTAAGTATTTTGCCTCTAGGGCGAACGGAATTTCTACCCCGTTGAGTACTGGTGACTTTAATCCTTCCAGTACTCTCTTTTTCGTGAAATTCACTATAGTGGTTTTATGAGGGTTCACGGTGAGTTCCTCCTCTTTACACCAATTGTCAATTATGTTTAGAGCGATTTGTGTGAGCTCCGATACCGTACTTGCGAATCTACCTCTAGCGATAACCGCCAGGTCGTCGGCATATCCTAAGCAATAATACCCTTTGGATGTTAGCCTTTTGATCAGTTCGTCCATTAGAATGGCCCATAGTAGGGGCGATAATACTCCTCCCTGTGGGCATCCCCTATCTGCTCTAGCTGTCAGAGTTGTCTCGCCAATTGTGGATATGATAACCCTATTTTTCAAATTGACATTTATCCACTGGCACAGGAGTAGCGGTACTCCTTTCCTTGCTAGGGCATTAATTATAGACTTTGTTGATGCGTTATTGAAAGCACCTTCTATGTCTACGAATGTTGTTATAGCTATTTCTTTGTCTTCTATCGACTTTGCGAATAGCCTGTTCAGATCATCCAGTGCTAAGTCAGTTGACTTGCCTGGCTGATACGCATATTGGCGTTCGTTGAGCGGGTTTCTTTGTGATACCTCGTCTCTTATGTATCTGTCTATCAGTCTTTCCAGCGTTTTGAGCAGGAACGACATTAGACTTATTGGGCGGTATGATTTTGGCGTTTTGTCACCCACCTTTCCCCCTTTGGGAAGGTAGATGACTGTCACCTTCTGCCATACTATGGGTATATATCGTATTGCTATACAAGCCTTGAATATACGACACAAATGTGGAATTAGTATTTACCATGGAAGCTTATACAGAGGGTTTATGAATAAAAACAATCGATACTTCCAACTTCAACATCCTGTATCCCAAAAACGGAGCAGATTAGGACACATGTTTATTTGAACTTCATTTGGTAGAATGTCACAAGTTAATACCCCTTGAGTTTTTTCGGTGTTTATTTCGATACACCCTGTAGACTGACGAATTCAGAATTGATTTCCAACGATCTTATTCTTACACGATTTGCAAATTGATTATTGGCTTACCCTCTGATCTTATGGAATTGAAATCCAAGAATTTTAAGGAAAATTTGAAAAAGTTACTGTTACTCAATAATAATATCATACCGAATTTCAATGTCTAAACTGGGTACCTTTCGATTTCTCTCTCAGAATTATATTTTAGTTTCACTTATATTTTAATATTTGAGTACAATTGGTTGTAATCAGAACTGATTATTTTTGGTACCTACTGCTCGTTTGCTTCGAAATTGAAATATTTTTCGATGTCATATCCATGTTTGTATTAGTTTATAGTTTACAGTCCTTGGTGCCAACAGAACATATTAGTATTATTAGAATATACTTATTAGTTACTCATCTTACGTTCTAACTGTGCACCTTTTCGAGGGTTATAGGGAAGATTGGAATCAATGTACATTTATGTACATTGAAACTAACTATAGCCCTTTTCAGTCTCAGTAATTAATATTTTTATTATATTATGTTGAGAGTAAAAAAAAATATGACTGTAGTTTATTCACTGAGAGAAACTGGATATTAAAAATATCTACCAGCTCTGATTGTAATAACCATTATAAGGAAATCTCCTATTCTTGATCATTTTATTATTACAACAGTATTCTCTCCATTCTGTAATTATAAAAATCGATTTCTTAAATCATTTGTAATACCCTTGAATGGACATTTGCTACCATCATAACGCAAGTGTGTTATGACATTATGAGAATTTTATAAATTCCAGTCTATTTAGATTTTTTATTGACATAGCTCGTTTTGTGAATTATGCTCATTGGTGAATTCAGATAATGTTTGTCCCAATAATCATAGCTGTTTGGGTTTCTAGCATTGTACGTTGACGAATAACTCTAGCAATTCACATGTATGACGGTTATTAGGCAATCATTCGACAATCGTAATTCGGCTCATTTCGCTCTAGTGTTTCATCAGTATTGGGGCTGACAAAGATACAGATCGCGTTCATTTCTCTGCTGTTCTCGGTCATGGGTGCCCGTGTTCAATTATTGTTCAATGGTTTCGATCGTCCGAATCGATAGAGCCGTGTCTTGTAGGTGAATGTCTGTGATGTAGCAAAGTTTTGTTTTAGTGCTGGCTGTGAACCGATCTGTGGAATACACCGTGCCTTGCATTATTGCAATGAAAAAAGTATTCTCCATACCCACTTTTCACGGCCTAAAATTGGTTTGTGGTAATTTGGTTTAAAACAAAATGATCGATGAGACTCTGAATCAAAATATCTGTGTTTCTGTGAGGGAAGTTTTATTGACAATTCTCATCATAACTCCGAAGGAAGGGTAAATATAAGTATTTAACTTCTCATTTCTTAATAAATTCATCAGTAATGCATATAGATGATATTTCTCCGAAAAAACCAATGAGTTATGTCAAAAAACTTCCACAGATACCCAAATATTTCAATTCAGAGACTTAACGTATTTTTTTGTATTTTTGAAAACAATAACTTTGGATCATGAAAAGTGATAGTGTGGATAGGATATTTATTTTCATTGCAGTTATTCAAAGCACGGTTTCATAATACATACCATCGAATAATGTTGATTAGATAACCTTATTACCACTGTTTGATGAATATACTAGAGTAGAAAAATATTGGGATAACTGTTGAAAATGAGCTTCATTACAATAGCATGTCAAAATGTCAGGTTTCATGCAGATATCAGATAACTATAATGAAATGAGACGAATTACTGCGTTACCTCAAGATGGTTGTGCCAGTAATAAAAACATGCTGTTTTATGTCGATAGTCTAATAACCACTGTAGAGTGGAGAGTTACTGCAACATTTTATGGGAATAATTCCTATTCGACATTCTGTGTTATCATAGAAATTAGAATTAGTAGTAGTTATTCAGCAGCGTTTTTTTTATACAAGTTTGCAAATTGAATAAGCTGCCATAACTACAAGTCACCTGAAAATTCACTTCATCTATGGTAGCAAATGAACACATCTGTCCCCTATTTATTGCAGATATCGTAATAACGGTTATCCGATTTCCAATTATGATAACTCAAGTTTTCTCTCAGTGTTGCTGTATATTATTGCTGAATCACTGAATAAATGACTAAATGAAATGAAAATTTAGGAGCATAGACGAACCTGTGTCTCTGTCAGCCTGAGTGAACTGGAGAATTCTGCTCTTTCAGCTATGCTGAGGTACTGCTTATCTCTAAATTTCTTCTCTAAAGCTAGAAGCTGCTGCGTCGTAAACGGCGTTCTAGGTTTCCTGTTCGGTTTGTGCTTTCTCAAATTACATTTGAGTTTTGGTGGCTCGCCATGGGAGTCTACTGAAACAAGAAGAAAATATTTCAATCTCTACTGGAGACAGTCGTATGCTCGGAAATCATGCTTTTTAGAGGAAACACAATGACTTTGTTTCATTCCAAAAACGGAAAATGATGAATACCCATTTTTTTGCATCGGGATTGTTTTGAAGGTTGATGTGGACTCAGCTTTGTTTGTTGAACTAATCATAGCATGTTCCATTCGGATCAGAAGTGACTTTGTTCGACTCGCAAATTCTGCTTCCGCTCGGCTTCGCTAAACGCTCCGCCTCGCAAATGCAAAATTCGCTCGTCAAACGAAGTGTCACTTTCGATCCTAATAAAACAATCTATTATTTTCAGAACAGGAGACCTCTGAAATATTTGAGATGTTCCTAAGGGGCCAGCATTTCCCTACTCTACCCTACTCATATAGGCAAATCTAATAATAATCCAAATTCAACTTTGTCCTGACGTCTATACTCTCATAGAGGAAGTAATTCAATCGACTTTTTATAATTGTAGGTGATTTTTATTCAAAGTGAGGGATTTATATGCAAGATGAAACATAGTTTCTTGAATGTTTCCGACCATTATACAATATTGGTCCATTAATTATCCGTCCAATTAACAGTCAATTAAAGACTAATTAGTTGATGAACATCAAAATCTTGCGTTGTAGCAAGAAATCGAGGTCGTTTCCATAATAGTTAATAAATTTATTAGCATTTTGTTTTAATTTATCGCTTCTGTTTTACCCATTTCATACAGGGTAACTCAGGTTCAACTTGTCGGAATCTGATCATAAATTGGGTTGAATTTTTTGTTCTGAATTCACAAAGTTGTACAGGGTGATTCACCATGAATGTCCCCCCTCTAGCTCACTCATTTTTAAACCGATTTGAAAATTTGGCGAATAATTCAAAATGATTTTTCATAAATATTTTCCTCTTGCATCAGGAAATACAGGGTGCTCGGAACAAATGATCTACAGAGTACTACTCGATTTTTTCGAATGGAACACCCTTCATTTCATTGTATTTTTAGGTTGTCCCTAAAGGTCTGATTTCATCAATGTATCACACTTGGGGTCTAGCAGGAATGATCACAGAGATATAGGGTGTTCAAAATCGAGATTTTTCAACTTTAGAAATTTTGTGTGTCGAAACTATTCATTATTGGTCAAAACGGCTCGAATGTCCCTATCTCAACTTTTGATTTACTATCTATTGACATTTAATTGGAACATATGCAGTGTGGTTCAAGATTCAGAATTCTGATCACCCTGTACCTGTTCCAATTTTCAAATGTCAGTAGATAGTAAATCAGGAGTTAAAATACGGACATGACCGATAATGAATAGTTTCGTCACAAAAAAGCCTGAAGTTGAAAAATCTCGATTTTGAACACCCTATATCACTGTATCATTTTCGCTAGACCTTAAGTGTGATGCATTGATGATATCAGCTTTCCAGGGAAAATCTGGAAATAAAATGAGAAATAGGGTGTTTCATTAGAAAAAATCAAATAGTACCCTGTAGATCGTTTGTTCCGAGCACCTTGTATTTTCTGATGTAGCGGAAATGAACTCTATCGAAAATCATTTCAGATTATATATCTTAAATTCTGGAATTGGTTCAAAAATAACTGAGCTAGAGGGGGGACATTTATGGTTAATCACCCTGTACATTATATTTAATTATATAAGAATAAGAAGTGATCGAAAAAACTTTCGGACTCGAACGAATGGTAGTTATTCAGCAGTGGTGTTTATATTATACAAGTTTGCATATTGAATATGCTGCCATAACTACAAGCCACCTGAAAATTCACTTCATCTATGGTAGCAATTGAACACATCTGTCCCCTATTTATTGCAGATATCGTAATAACGGTTATCAGATTTCCAATAATGATAACTCAAGTTTTCTCTCAGTGTACCACAAGTGATATACCGAAATATTCGGCGATTGTAACGACAGCTTGTTACCTAATAATTTCGCGAATGACATTGATTTTCCAAATTCTCTAGCCGTTTGCGCGAAATTTTGAATCAATGTCACAAGCGAAATTAGAGCAGCGGGCTGGAGTATGTCAATCGACGAATATTTACAGGAAAAATAGTAACAGTAGTATTTTCATCTTTGGGATCGCAGCATATATTTCCTATTGGGTTCGTAGAACATCGTGCGTATCCCGAAAAATAGTTTGAACTATATTTGAGAAATGATTTAAAAAACATATCAGACCAAAACTGTACAAATTAAATTCTTTGATTACATTTCAGCATGATACTCAGTTAACTGGAAATTATTCTGCAACTTGGATTATAATCATGCAGCCTATAATAATATGATCTCTAGTTCAAGAATGTTGCCGCGCACAAAATAAATACGTTGTATAATCACCTAATTATTATTTCATTTACTGTTGATTCGGTCGATTTAATTTGTCCGTTGCCTCATATATGGGGTATAATTAATTATAGTGATAACTTCAGAGAGCCTAATTTGAAATCATTATTTTTTAGCATCCTCTATTCGTTTATGCAACTCCATTATGATAATTTGAGGAATCATATTTTCAATGTTATATAATATCCCACAGATTCCTTATACAAAGAATCCTTATTAAAAGATGTGAGACAGATTTTTTGTCAAAAAATAATTCTATTCATAAAACTAGGAAAAATTGAACTCACTCCATATAAACACCCCTGTAAGACTCGAAAGACTGATGAAGTTTTATTTATACGTTGCGGAAAAACTATTGGCCAACGTAATACGAAATATTTAGCACACAGAATTCCTGCTTTGTTACCACACGACTGGAAATATATAAAAAACTACCAAATGTTAAAAAAAAAACTGAAAAAATGGTTCTCAATGAAAGGCTTATATTCACTAATATTGTTAACCAGAGATCAACTCACTAAAGTAGTAGTGCAAATTATTATTTATTTTGGTGTATATGTAAAAAAATATTAATCGACTGGGACTAACACTTCAGTATATCTTTTATTTCAAAGATAAGACTATTAACCCCTTTTATTTACAATGTAATAGTTCACCTTGATGTGTCAAAATCCCCTAATGTCTACCCATTTATCGATGTTTTAGGATTGTTTACCTACTTTTACAGATTGTTCACTAATTTCTAACGATTTTTATCAATTTTTTATTTTAATTCTACTATGGAAATCGCACACACAAGTAGTCAAAGCTACTTCTGTGATCCACCCCTGTTTATTCAAGAAACACTTTTTTTGAAATTTATATGATACGATTTATGAGTATGAATAAACATTAATATTATTATTATTACTGCGTATTCTTCTTCAGATACAGCTCATGATATTATGTTGAAGGTGATTCACCATATCTCGACTCATTTTAAGAAATGAGCTATAAATTCGAAAAGTATAGTCCATGTGTAGAATCAAAATAAGCTTCAGAGTGACAGGTAATTCACAAAGGGAGAAACTCAAAGTCATTACCACAATAGTTCATAATATAAACAAAAATGGTAGATAACGAGAGAAAAACAACTACATGCCACGCAGAACATTACATCCTCTCGATATCTATGCAATAATTCATATAGACGAATGAAATCGCAAGTGTTTCCTTCCTGAACGCCCAGCTGCGCCTAAGTGGTTCAGGAACGCGTGACTACCTGCAGACCGGTTTTGAGCTGTTGGCTCTCATCATTGCAGGGCTGTCCCAGATAGCTCCTTGATCGCTATCTGGTGCGCAACTGATCTAATCTAAACGCATCTCAGCATTTATACTCCACGAGGCCTTCAACGTCCGCGAAATGAACCCGAACGCCGAACGCCACCTGGCAAGGAAAGGAACACTCCAAACCAATATTCCATTTCAGATGGAATGGGAGTGGCTGGTTGCCCGTCTGGCGTATTTTCAACTGCATAAGTTGGGAAAACTACGATTTTAAGCCAAAAGCATTAGTTATTAGGGCAAAACCAAAGTTTCTTGCCTCGAATTTATATAATTTCATGCTAAAGAAACTTAGGTGCTTGCCTCAAAGTTTTTGGAATATTGGGTCGAAATGTCCATGCATTCCGCCTTATTCAAATGCTTGGCGCCCTTGAGGTAAAGTCATCAGTGTAGGAAAAAGCCAAGTACTCAAAGTGGAATGCAATGGTTACAAAGAGAAAAACTCAAAGTCAGAGTTTTGTGGTAATGACTGGTGATGAATAATCTTATTTTTTCGAATTAACATACAGAGGATTGAGAAAAGCGTTGGAATATAATCAGATTAAATATGATCATTATGATAACTGAACTTTCAATTTTTAATTTCGTTTTTGGTTTTTGGTTGTGATAACTTTGTGTTCATAAACTTCGGAGCATAAAGAATCCTTATTCGAATAAACTAATTGTTATTTCTTTCTCCAGTCTCATAGGTAGGTACATCAACTCTTTCATCAGGTACCTACCAGTTATGAAGTGTTATATCCATTAAAATCGATTGGCTTTATATGATTGATTCTGTTAGATCCTTTCTCTTGATGACTGCGCTATCCACATTTTCCTTCTTTTTCTTTATAGATCATTCATCTGTGGGTGAAATTCTTATTATGATTACTTATCATCTGTGGCTGAATGTACAGAGTTCTTCACAGTAGGAATGTAAGAGAATAAGCCGATCTGCTCGGCTTCCACAATCCACGTTACTGTCGTTTTTTCACTAAATTTCATACTAGGTTTCACTAATCACAATGAATCTATAAAACTAAATAGCATTATCCTCTTGTAAACGCTTCCGAAATCCACAAAGTCCACAAGTGAACAAACGTGACACTTGTTCGTTTGCCAACTAAACTAGACTCCATTTTGATTTTGAAATTATTTGACAGATCTCACAGATCGTGCAGCTGCGAATGTTCCAGATATGATCGAAAATCGTCGGGTTTCAAAGATTCACTGGTATAGCTACACGAAAAAAAAAAAGGATTTGTTGCATCAACGAATTATTTATGCTTGAATTATTTTTGTTGAACT